GGACATTTGATTTGTCGATAGCCTTCTTTGCCAAACATATCATTGCCGAAGTACTGGTCGTGATATTCCGTAGACTTAACATATCTGGTCCACAAGTCCTGTATCTTTTCACGACTTTCATAACTCCTGAGGTAAGAGTTAAGTCGATCCGCACTCCAATCCTCTGTCTTAATAATGGTATTGAGGAACTGAACGGCTTGTCTGGACGCGCAAATGGACGCTCCGATTAATACAATAGCGTTTACTGAATCCGAGTATTTGATGGCTAGAGTTATGCCACTCTTTGCTCCGTCTGACCACGCGATCACCGAATAATGCTTATATCCCAAATGCTATACAAAATAAACATGTTCAATTTACTTTTACAGTTAAGGTGAAAGTTTCTATTACTATTTGAAAATAAGTAATTGTGTTTAATTAGTTAAGTAATCGTAAACACCTTCATGAGAGTCTCATAGATGTCTGCGTCCTTGTTGTACATATTGATGTCATAGCGTCGCGCGGGTGGACCCGATCGGCCCCAACCCATGGGTTCGACCGCAATCAGGGTAAAGGCATCCAAGTCCAGAGCGTCCTCGCCCTCCACCTGTTCCCAGTAATCCGTTCTTCCCGTCCCTTATTATTATAACAATACAATTAATTTTTAAAACTCTAGTCATGAAGACAATAAACTTTTATGGACTAATATTTGTCTCATAAAACACACACACCTATAGCACCGGGTATGAGAAGCACTGGTTTGGGTCCACTTCCGAACCTCTCGTACCAAATGGTATAACCATTTATATCTATTTTACCACTACTGGAGCTGTCAGTCATAATTGTGTATTGCGTTCATCAATAGATTTTTCACAGACTGATGGAAATTTCATATTCAATGGGAATAACAGTTATTTTTATTGTTTTTCTCAGTTATATACAATAAATATAGTTATTTAGGTTTTGTTTTATTTGCCGTGTATATAATAATTGTCATGTAAAGTGGATTTTAGCCAATAATATGTTATTTATTAACAATGTTGCAGTAACCAGGGTGGCCAGGTTGAAGTTAGACTATTGAATTGTATTCAGAACATAGTATATAAAATTGTAATTTAATATATGTTTACAATTGCATTGACACTAATTAGAACACATTATATCGCAATTTAGCAATTAATGTGTTCTTTTGCTATCCTATTGTGAAACAAATAAACTCTAAACTCTCAAAAAGTTGCCAATATCTAAACCCTAACCCATGTCTTCCTATTGTACAATAATTGTCATAATTAATTATTTAAAACTCAGTACTAGTAGTAAAACAATCAAACAATAAATATGCAAATACATTAAAAATACATTAAAAATAAATGTTTTGTGTGCTACTGTTAAAAA